TTTTTTTTTTTTTTTTTTTTTTTTTTTTTTTGTTTTTCTCCAGTACCGGGAACCGAACTCACGACCTTGCGCTTGCCAGGCAGGCGCTTTTGCCGTGCCATTCATCTTCATAATGAATTTTATAAGCCTTTTTAGTACTAACACTATTAACACAGCTTTCGTATATGCACTATAAATATTTTTTCCTTGGATGTTCTTTACCTTTTGACAAATAGAACTTTTACTTTGGGGAGTAGAATTGATGAGAGATCTTCCCAAGCCTAAAGTACATAAATGTTTTCTCCACATTGTGTTTTAACTCCTCCAATGCGTATGGCTTGATTTCTTTTGTAGTGAGACTTTTAACACACACAGTGTAAGGATCTAATTTTATTCATTTTTTAAAGGATAATTCATTATCCTAGTGCCATTAAGTACTAATTCCATTGTTCACTCCTGAACTGAAATGTATCTTTATCTTATTTTAGTTCATTGTATCATTTTTATCTGTTCTCAATTCTCAGTTTAGTTCCACTAATTTGTCTATTTGTACGTAGGAATCATATTTTGCTTAAGTACTTTTGTAGTAAGCATTAAGGTCTGGTAGAGCAAGTGTCATGCTCAGTAGTTGTTTTTCTAAGTTTTTGTGATTCTAGTAGAAATTTAAAATTATTCATGAATTTAGAATTGTTTTGTTTAATTCTAAAAATAAAACCATATAAGTCCCATTAATATTGCTTTTTTTTCTTATTTGAGAGAGCTTTGCATGTTTTTGCTTTTATATCTTCCTATTCTGGAATAATATTCCATTTTACTGATTCAGCTCTTATTTTATATCATCAATAAAATTTTGTACCTTAGTTTATGTAATCATTTTCTTTCTTATTAGAATAATAGGCATTTTATTTTTTTGAAATTATTGTACACAGCCTAAATTTTTTTTCTCTCCTTTGGATTTTCCACATTTATTTTGTATCTAGCCATATTCCTAACTTCTCTGATTGGTCTATAAAATTTATTAGACATACAGTGTCACTTGCCAATGATTTCCTCCCCTAATATTTATACCCCTTACTTTCCTTTACTGGAGAATGTACCTCCAAATCATTGTAGAATTATATTATTGGTCTGGGTAATTTAAATTGGCGTTTGATCACTTGCAATTGAGTATGTCTTGACAAATGCAAGAGTAATATCCTTGGCAAATACATAGTGTTTAATTCCTGGTAAGATATTTCATGTCTTATCTCTACGTTATTTCCTTAGGGGTGGACTGTACATGTTTTTCTGCTGTTCTGGCTTCTTACACGGTAGCTCTTGTCGGTCATTCTCTCGTGTACTGCGTGCGTCTGCTGAAAGTGATTTTCCTGTCAGCTTGATGGGAAAGTGAAATAGTGCACTTTCTAAAAGGCTGAGAGACTAGTTTTAACTGTGTAAAAGCTAGGCCTGAATTTTTTGCCCTCGGCAAGACCAAGCAAGGAGGTGGAGGGGGCAGGGCTGTAAGAAGCCGAGCTGGTTCAAAGAGCTTCTTCTCCCCTTTGCTCCCTGTCAGTTCAGCACCAAGTGCACTCGGGCCCCACCTGTGACCTTGTTCTCTTCCCCGGGGTGGAGCCCTGCAACTTGCTGCACCCACAGCGACTTCAGAGAGGCTCCTTGCAACACCCTGAGGGCTTAGAGATAGCAAAGCTGTGTATGATTTCGTTATCACCCATCAGATAGAGATGTGTATAAAATATGACATTATTGAACCCTATAGTTATATATTTACAAATGTATATGGTTTTAGATATCTATTAAAGGGTATATGTAGATTTTATATATGTGAAAAGTTAAATATTTCTAAATATGAGCATGAAGCAAGCAAAATTAAACTAGCATTGAGATCTCAAAGAGAGCCCTTGGACAAGGAACTTCCATAGTAAGTACAAAAGGAAATGTTCATCAACGTAGCTGTGGGCTGTGTAGATTTTTCCCTCTCTATTGCAGATGGGCAGCCTCTCTCAGAGACCTTTTAGCTGTCGTATTTGTGGAAAACGAGGCTGAACAGAGTCTGCGTCTCATTTTCCTGATAAGAAGGAAACACTGCTTCCTAATTGTGTGTGTGTGTGTGTGTGTGCATGTGCATTTATGTGTGTATGTGGACACTTCTGTTTGTTTTAGGCCCTGCATAATGGATTTTCCTGCATGTCTCCTGTAGCAAGCTCTGGAGTTTATCTAGACTCGTTATAGCCAGGGGTGTAATTAGATATTTCAACAACGATGGTAGATCATCACTCGAAATGCTTAAATAGATCTACTGGGGCAAAATCTATTCCCAGTCTTTTTTCAGTTTTTGGTACGTTTCAGCAGGATTGATGGCTGGGTCCAGCTGGGAGGAATTCACATTCAGCCTGGACAGTTCTGGGCAGGTGTAGCTGTGGAGTAATGGGGCTGGAGTACAGTGACGTAGTAACAGAAGACCTCAGGTTCCCCATCCTGATGCTGACATCCGTGTGTCTCATCTCTACATGTGGCTGCCCTCCTGTGTAGCTAGCAGGTTCCTTGGGAACTGTCTTGCCTCTGGTCTTTTCTGAATGTCTCATGCTGTAAAATTGCTTACGGAGGGGTTGACTTGTACCTCATGGTCTCAGTCCCTCCAAAGATGTGACTTGTTCTTAGTGGCTGTGGTGGTATTACAGAGTGACATGCACTTGGCTGTTCTCTCCTTATTTAATATGAAGCGTCCTTCTTAACACTGCCAGCCTCCATTGCCTGGCTGAGTGCTGGGGATAGCGGACGTGGCTTTGCCTGCTAAAAGCTGGCTGTATCATTGGGAGGTAGACTTCCGCCAGTGACAAATTGGGAAACATCCTCTGAAAGGAAAGGAAAGGATAGGGTGCCCAGGAGCTGATCACAGGGTGCCTGGCAGCACGAGGAGGACCTGAAAACGCAAGGTGCTAAGCAGAGACAATGGCAGCGGCAGCACACACCCGAGTGTCACAAGTTCTTTAGTGTTTGGAACCCTGGTGTGCCGTTCTTCATCGTGCATCCCAGAATGTCTTTACTAAACACAAGGGAGTGCAAGTTCTAGTTTATGTCTTTTCTGAGTAACCCTTGTGTCTTGCCCTCCTTAGTGACCTGTGCTTCTCTTTACTGTTTCTGGGATACTGGGACTGTTGGCACACTGCTGTAAGTCCCCAGGAAGTTATCGATTCAGCCCATGCAGCAGGACAGGTGGCCCTGAGATGACTGTGCCCTGCCCATCCATCCCGTGTGATTCACACTGGCCCACCTTGGACCTGCTCCAAAGTCTGAGCCCAGAGCCATTCGCAGCCTCTCACATGCGTTAAGTTGCACTTGTAGCTCATGCACATCCACCGTGTCTGTGTAACCCAGTGGATTCAGCTGTGGTGGATTGTCATGCATGGTTATGTTTTTATAACTATTTATTAAAACTTTAGTTAATTTGATTTTTCCGTTTTTGTTATTCTAGATTCAGCATATTTAGCTTTTCAAGTTTCAAATTTTTTGCAGGTCCTTTGAAATCCCGTAGGTCTTGACCCTGTTATTCCTGAGTTGTGGATTCAAGAGTGTGGGGTCAGCCTTTCCAGATACTTCTCAGCTTCTTGCATGGCACTGTTCCCATGCATGCCTTTGGTCTCCTCGCTACCCAAAATGCCAGGCACCCTCCATGGAAATTAGCTTCACCCCATGATCTCTGCAGCACTACTTTGGAGTGTGGCCCAAGCCTGAATCTTTGGTATGCGGTAATCCCCGAGAAACAGTTGGCTTTTGCCTGCACGCTCAGGTGAACCCTGATGCTGCAGGACACCTTGAGGCCCACAGCACCACACATGACGGCATTGGGCCTTCAGGACATTTCCCGTTTAGGGACCATTCTTGTGGCAACAGACATACCAGACTCCTCTTTCTAGTATCCAGTGTGGGAACACACACACACACACACACACACACACGCACACACACACACACACCATACTTAGCAATAGTGTAGTCAAACCTCAGAAGCAAAAAGAAATGCTTCTAACACCAAATGGTGTCTTAACTTGCAAGGCACAGTTCTAGGGATTATGCAAAGTGATGTTAGCTCCTGTCCTTCATCTCCTGCCCTATGTCCCTTTGTGCTTGCTGGGAATAAGAACAGGGCCTGCAGATAGGCCATATGATATTTAGAGCAGGACTCTATTAGGAAGGGCCCAGGCTATGGACCTCAGCGGAATGGGGATGTCCAGTATGAGGAACCTGAGGCTTGAGCTCCTCTGGCTTCTCCTGCCTTCACTGGCTCGCTTAAGCGTTCTCTCTCCAGATGTACTTATTGTTTTTGGAAGGCGTCCTGCCTAGCTCTTTCCTGCCCGGGAAGGGTGGGACTTGCACATTGTGTCCTTTGTAACTTTCCAAGGTCTTTATGCTGTCTTGATGGAGCCAAAGCAGGTTGCTGGCATCTTCCAGCTTCTAATTGTCTGAGCAGGAAACTCTGCCGGTGTGTCCCCGGGAGGGTCCTGGGAAGCTGCCCCCAGCTTGGACTGGCCTGAGTGTTTGCATGCCTTGAGCCATGAATTTGCATCTCGCTTGTGTTTCTGGGGCCAGCCCTGCAGTTGGGATGGCCCCTTCCATCCTGTTTTGCAGGATTCTTTTCCTCTCCCATGCCCCGGCCTGCAGCCAGTACCAAGGCACGGGTCAGGGCATGTTTCAAGAGCTGCCCTGCATGACTGGCTCTGGCAAGTCTGTTCCAGCGATTCTAGGAAGCCCGTCCTGTGGGAACACCCGTATTTCCACATCCCCCGCCCATTGGGCCCTCCCTCGGCATTGTGCTGAACGCAGAACAAACATCACCCTCCCTCCCTGCCTCGGTTGAGAAACCCAGAGCTGAGGAAACGAATTGCTGCCTGGCTGGTGGGTGGTGGGATTGGAAGCAGACCCAGATTTTCTGACTTCCCATGCTGCCTAGACTCTCCTTGCTCAAGCCTCGACTTCCTAAAGGCAAGTAATAGCTTACGTGTTCGGATATATGATAGGGAGTATGTACTTCGGGCCGTGTCCAGTTTTTTTTCTGGTTGGAGTTCGGCCAACTCTTGTAATTTCCCAGGAGATGTGGGGATAAAGGAAGACTGAGCTGTTATATAGAAGAAGCCCCTTTAGCCACATCCGGAATCTTTTGTAGTCCTGTACGGGTGGGGGCTAGTTGCCAGGGGAACCAACTTTGGGATTAGAGAGAGAGGAGGAGAAAGGAGCTGAGTGTTGAGTTTATCACCTATGGCTGATGATTTAATCAACACCTATTCCGTGAAACCCCAAAAGGGCAGGCTGTGAAGAGCTTCGGGTTGCTGAAGGGGTGAAGAGGAGTGCTGCGTGCGTCTGTGCAAGTCTGGGTCCCTTCACCCGTGTCTTGTCCTTTGTCCTTCTCATCTGGCTGTTCATTTCTGCCCTTTGTAATGACCTTTGTAGTAAACTAGTAGCCAAGAGACCTGTGTTGTCTTTGCTTCTGTGAGCCCTTCTAGCAAATGACTGAACATAAAAAGAGAGTGGAAACCTCTGGTTTGTAGCCAGGTCATAGAGAAATTGTTTGTGGTAGAAGCAGTCTTCCGGGAGTCAGTTCTTAGCCTGTGAGGTCTGTGCTAGCTTGGTGAGTGTCAGAACTGAACTGAGTTGCACCCGTTCAGCTAGTGTTTGAGAATTGCTCATTGTGGAAGAAAATCCCTACATATGTGGTCACACAATTGTTTTATGTTAAGTGAGAGCATGGAAGGAAAAAGTTTTTCTCCCCTGTACACACATTCCTGGGATTAATCAACACAGATATGGAGTCTGCCCACTCTATTTTCTCCCCTGTACACACATTCCTCCCCTGTGCTCACAGTCAATGAGCAGCATCTTAAGGAACACAGTTTTTTACATGTTCTTATTTCATCTTCATTACTTGAATGAAAAATGAAAATAAAGTCTGGGAATAAAATGGGCAAGCCAAAAGTGAATTTATCCATTCAATATTTATTGAGCACCGACTGGATGCCTGGGTGCTGGGGCTATGGCAGAGAACAAAGTAAACACATGGCCCTTAAAGAACCCCCATTAGTTGGGGGAGACACACAATAAGTAAACAGGTGGTAAAGAAAGAGGAGGAAGGGGGCTCCAGAGGGATGAGCTGAACTGCTTGGTCACAGGGGAGATCAGACATGAACCAGATCTGGAATGAAGGGAGTGATCAGGCCATGTGGCCCTCTGGGGCGCAGTGGACAACTTGATTAATGTCATCACCTGGATCAGGGTTGGCAAACCACAGCCCGTAGCCTGCAGCCTGCTTTCTTTAGAACACGGCCCCACCGCTTGCTGGGTGTTGTTTATGGCAGTTACTTGCCCACTACGGTGGCAGAGCTGTGTCACTGCCAAAGAGACCCAGTGGCCTGCAAAAACTAAAATGTGTACTCTCGGAACCTTTGCAGAAAGTGGCTCCTAACGTTTTCCTGATCTAGAATTGAAGGTCTCAAAATGTGCTCTGGGAACCCTGGGGACCTTTGGGCCCCTTTCAGCGTGTGTGTGAGGCTGAGCTATTACCAGTGTTAGAATACAGTCCTACCAAGACGTTATTCGCCCCTTCGCTGCTCACCCTCCCCAGAGGGCACTGTAGCATTTTCCAGAAGTACAAGTTGTCTGATATAGATTGCAACAGAGTAAATAAAGATCAAAATAAATGACAGGCAATAGGAAGTAGGGCGATAGATCTTTCTAAAGGGAAAAGGGATCGAGGAATGGAGGGAGGGGGAGAGGCAAAGGAATGAAAAAGAAGAGTTAAGATGTGCTGTGCACATGTGCGGACTCCACATAAGGAATGGAAATATCAATAAAACATTTAAAATTTTTCTAAAGAGAGAAATAGGAGTTTACTGTCATCTGTGAGGTCAGACATCACGAGAATAGTAAATGTGTAAAATAATTCACTCTTTGGACTAGTTTCTATTTGTTTGGGGGAGAAATAGTTATTTTTAACGCGTAGAAGTGATTTGTGTAGACTCATAGTGGGTGTATTCTTGTCAAACATGTTAATGAGGAAAGCTTTATAAATGTGTCAGCTTTGATTTCTGAAATAGTTGACTTGGGTAGGTATAACCCCCATAAATAGAAGCCTTTGGGGGTTTCTGTACTGTTGAAGGAGTGTTTAAGTAAATTGCATAGGACATTTAGGGGCCTGAATCTTGGAGGCAGAGTAGATGGAGACACTTGACCACTTCTCTGGAGGGCAGGAGAGCGAGAGAGATAATAGCCATCTCCTGGCTGTAGCTATTTTTAGCTGGCAGGGTAAGGGAATTTCCTCTGATCCAATCTTCACAATGAAAATGAGTTTTGAGACTTCCAAGAAGATGGCTGAGTGGTGAACAGCAGAGAAACAGCTTCTCTGAGATTTGGTGTCCAGATGCTGGAACATACCAACGTGAGGAAGAGAAGAAGGAGGGAGGTGGGTGCCTGGGATTCAGCAAGGGTCTGGAGTGAGGGTTGAAGCCCACAGGGAGTGTGAAGCGAGACACCTGAGTGCAGAAAAAGGAAATGACAGGCCACCTGAAGAAATCAGGTTCCAGCCTCACAGACAGAAACCAGCCTGAACTTCAGCGGAATGATAAGTGCAGGCTTGCTGGGGTTGTCACTACCCCACTGTAAAGCCACAGCTGATTTGCTGGGATTAATCAACACAGATCTGGAGTCTACACACTCTATCTACCAGCTACAGCAGGACATGCCCTGAAGTGGCCATTTTTTTTTCTTTTCTAGTGTTTGTTTTGTTTTTTCTTGATTGTTTGTTCTTCTTTTTTTTATGAGTGTGAACATCGCTTCTAGTTTTCTTGTGGTTGTTGTTCTGTTCTGTTCTTGTTCTTATTTCTTCCTTATTTCTTTTGCTCCTGTCTTCTTCACCAGTGTCCCAAAGTTTCTGTAATTTTCCTTTGTCCTCCAGCTTTGCTTCTAATCTCTTCCTCTTCTTCTATTTCTCCATTTTTCTCTCAACTCCTTTAATATTTTCTCCTCTGAGGATAACATTCCCATATTGAGGGCATATGTACTGCATAAAATTTTCTGGTTTGTTTTACATTTTGTTATGTAATCACAAATATAGTCCATATAGTTAAAGGTGGTAAATTAATACACCAAATACCAGCACACTCTACTATGTAAAACAAATATTAATGGACATGAAAAATCAAATAAGCACTAGTACAGTTGTAGTGAGAGACCTCAATACCCCACTGTCACAAATAGACAGATCAATTAGACAAAAAGTCAACAAATAAATATCAGAACTGAACCAAACCTTTGAACAAATAGACTTAGTAGCTATTTACAGAGTGTTCCACCCTACAACATCAGGGTACACATTCTTCTCATCTGTGCATGAAACATTCTCCAGAATGTTCCACATGGACGGCATGCCAGCTCATAGAGCACGCTTAAGTAAATGCAAAGGAATTGAAATGATCCCATGTGTATCATCATAGTGCAATGAAATTGGAATTCAAGGGCAAAAAGAACTATAAAAACTCCATAAACACATGTAAGTTAAGTAACACCCTCCTGAACAACCAATGGGCCACAGATGAAATTAAAGAAGAAATTAGGCAGTTTCTACAATTAAATGATAATGACAGTACAACATGCTGGAGCTTATGAGATGCAATTAAAACAGTTTTAGGAGGGAAATTTATAGTGGTGAATTCTCATTTCAGAAAAGTAGCTTGAGCTCAAATAACCTAATGTTGAACCTGAAGCTTCTAGAAAAAAAAAGAGCAAGTCAAGCCTAAAGTGTGTATGAAGAAGGAAATTTTGAAGGTCAGAGCAGAAATTAATGCAACCAAGACTAAGAAAATAGTACCAAAAAATCCCCAATGAATTCAAGAGTTGATTCTCTGAAAGATTAAATAAAATTGATAAACCCTTAGCCAACCTTATCAGAAAAGGAAAGAAAGACTCAAATCCATGCACTTAGGAATTAAAAAGGTGACATCACAACAGATCCTGTAGAAATCCAGAAGATCATCAAAATTTTATTCTAATAAGAAGAAAAACACAGAAGAAATGGGCAGATTCCTAGATACATACAAATTACCAAAGCTGAATCAAGAAGATATAAAAATTCTAAATAACCCAATATCAGTCAATGAAATTGAAAATGTAATTAAAAGCCTACCAACAAAGAAAAATCCAGGCCCTGACAGATTCACTGCTGAATTCTACAAGCAATTTAGAGAAGATATAATGCCATTATTCCTCAAACTCTTTAATGAAATTGAGAGGGAAGCAATACACCCACATTCATTCCTGGAAACAAGCATTACCCTGATACCCAAACCAGAGAAAGACCCAACCAAAAAAGAGAACTGCAGACCAGTGCTGTACTGTTTTCCTCGTGTGAGAAACCCAAAATGTAAATAATGACCAACATGTATAACAGATACTGGGAATGGGAAGGAAATGTTTAAATGAGAAAGGAAACAAAGGAGATGGGATGGGGAAAGGAAGGGACAAGAAAAAAAGAATGGAAGGAAACAATGGAAACACAGCTCTTTAAATAAGGAAAGGAAGAAGGATTGAAGGGAGGGGAGGGGAGTGGGAAAAAAGAAGAATCAAGATACATTGTGTAGAGGTACAAATTCACTATGATGAATGTGATCATTTTGTGTATGTAAAATTTACCAATGAAAAAAGAAAAAGTGAATTTGGAACAACCAATTTATTTTCCCTCTGTTTCTGCTTTTCTTGGCCTTCTCAGTGTATGAAAGCAGCCTGCTGAGCTCAGCTCGATGGAGCATGCATTCTGTGTGTGTGTGTGTGTGTGTGTGTGTGTGTGTGTGTGTGTGTGTGTGTGAACCTGGGGCCTTCTAACTGAGCTATATCCCCAGCCCTTTTTAAATTTTTTATTTTGAGACAGGTTCTTGTTAAATCTCTAAATTACCCAGGGAGGGATCAAAGTTATGATCCCCCATCTCAGCCTCCCAGATTGCTGTGATTGCAGGCATGCGCCACCATGCTTAACTTGCACTCATTATATTTTATGGAACAAGGTGTCACCCAATTCTAGTATCACAAATAAAAGCCAGTTGAGAGGCTCAAACTAAATTGGTTGTAATTTTGCCTTTTGGCAAGTGTAAAGATATCCTGAGACTGTGAAGTTTGAGAACAGCTGATCTAGAAGTAGCCCAGTTTATTTTTCTTGTGGAGGCTGCAGGAGTTACAAGATACGTGGTTCTCAGGAGCAGCAGCCTGTTTCTCAGGCCTCATGAAAGGAGGCCACCCCAGCACACTGGGGGTTGTGGGAGATGATGAGTGGGTGCTAAGGGTTGGATTGTGTCTCCTGCACCCACCAAAGTTTCTGCCAGATCCTTAGCTCAGGTAATTCTTGCATGAGCTGAGGGGGAGTGAGTGATGCGACCTTCACGTAGTAGATGTGTCAGTAGGGATGCAGAGTGGAGAGGCCACCCAGGGGCAGGAGAGGCTGGCTCCGGAGTCCAGCTCTCCACCATGTGAAAGTGAAAGCTGTGGCCACAGAGCACCTACCGTTTGTGCTAGACTGAGCTGCAGGTCACAGAAGACACCTGGACAACGGAGGCTTCACCTAGGTCGGTGGCGGAGGGGAAGTTATTGCGAACTCCTTCAGGAAGCTCTGGCTTCTTGCCGGAAAGGATTTCCACCAGGATTTTGACATGGTGATGCTACTGGGTTGTTCTGAACACTGAATGTGTCATTTATCACATCAGTGCTTTCTTTCTATTCTGAGCAAAATTAGCAAGGAAGTGGTAAGGCATTTGTGCCTAGTATTTCTTGGACATGATGAGGAATCCAGGTCAGGAGGGACCGATGCTGGGCTCTCCCAGAGCTCTCTCCAAGTTGTCCTCAAAGGATGGCAATGACTCTTTGGAGAGAAGAAGCAAATTGGTGGAGATGAAGGAAACAAGACTCTTAGGAATTTAAAGGCTGATGCAGGCTTAGTTGATTCCTATTAGCTATGTGTTTGAATATGGTTGAATATTAATGTGGATTCTTCCAGAAGAAAGGACAAGGTCCAGAGCAAGGGAGAGGTAGGCAGAGTTTGAAAAATCATTGTTTGGTTTAGGGAAAAAAACCCGGGGCATGCAAACAATTCATTATTGTTGCTTTAACTCCCTCCAGGATGGCTGGCCCTATTCCTGAGTTTCAGAGAGTTTCTACAGGGCTTTTCTTCTTGTCACTTTGGGGCATTGCTGTAGGTGACAAGCTCCTGGCAGTCCCCTTGGATGGAAGCCACTGGCTTAGTATGAAGGATATACTTGAGCATCTCAGTGACAGGGGGCATGAAATCGTGGTGCTGGCGCCAGAAATCAATTTGCTTTTGAAAGAATCTAAGTACTACACAAGAAAAATCTACCCAGTGACCTACAGCCAAGAAGAGCTGGAGGACCGTTTCCGCTCCTTCGGGAACCATCACTTTGCCGAAAGAGCATATGTGACCGCTGCTCTGACGGAGTACAGGAACAACATGATCGTGATTGACATGTGGTTCTTCAACTGCCAGAGCCTCCTGAAGGACTCAGACACCCTGAACTTCCTCAAGGAGAGCAAGTTCGATGCTTTGTTCACAGACCCAGGGCTCCCCTGCGGTGTGATCCTGGCCGAGTACCTGCAGCTGCCCTCCGTGTACCTGTTTAGGGGCTTCCCATGCTCCCTGGAGCACGTGTTCAGCAATAGCCCAAGCCCTGCGTCCTACATCCCGAGATGCTACACAGAGTTCTCTGACCACATGACTTTCCCGCAGCGGGTGGTCAACTTCCTTGTTAGTTTCCTGCAGAATCTGTTATTTCACTGTCTCTATTCAAGGTATGAAGACATTGCCTCGGATCTCCTCAAGAGAGAGGTGCACTTACCCTCCTTATTTCAGAAGGATCCCGTGTGGCTGTTAAGATATGACTTTGTGTTCGAGTATCCCAGGCCAGTCCTGCCCAACATGGTCTTTATTGGAGGGACCAACTGCAAGAAGATAGGAGCCCTGTCTCAGGTTGGTGGGGCCACCTCTCTTGGATCATCCCATATCTTCCTGGGCAGGTGCTCTCCTTATGGGCTCTGTCTCCTTAGCTCATTCAGCTCTTGCACCTGGCTCTCACCTGGAAGGCTGTCAGAAGAAAGAGTTGTGGGAAGGGTGCGAGGTTGCGAGGAGCAGGGCGTGTAGACCTGGGGCAGAGGTGACACCCAGACATTAAAAGGAAGAGAGGGCTCGTGCTTGGCTACACGTTTGGCTGGGTCGTCTGCAGACAGCCGCTGAAACATCAGATGGGTCTTGGAAATGTTGCAGTGCGAACAGAGAATAAGGCCTGACCCACACCGACACTCTTTTCCCCGCCTGTGCCCCACACTTTGTCTTGGGCTCTAAGCCAGAGATCAGCAAAGTAAACCAGTGGGACGCACCTGCCCAGGCACCTGTTTTTACCTGGTCCAGAGCTAAGCATAGTCTTTACAGTTTTATAGGGGTGTTAACAACACAGGGAATGTCTAAGAAGGGTATATGTGGCCCAAAAAACTTATATAAATACTACCTGGCCTTCACAGAGGAAGTGTGCTGACCTAAGACAAGTCTTCCTTTATTCCTTCTTTCCTTTTCTCCTTCCTCTTTCCCTCCCTCCCTTCCTCTCTTCCTTCTTTTCTTCCTCCCTCCCTCCCTCCCTTTCTTCCTCCCTTCCTTCCCTTCCATCCTCCCTTCTTTCTTTTCTTCCTCTCTCCCTTCCTCCCTTCTTTCCCCCCTTTCTGCTCCCCTCCCTCCCTCCTTCCTTCCTGTTTTCCCTCCTCCCCTCTTTCTCCTTTTCCCTTTTTTCTTTTTTGCTCTCTTTCTTTCTTTTATGTGTTACTGGGGATTGAACCCAGGGCCTTCACACTGAGGAATCCCCACCTCACTTCATTGTTTAGGAGACAGAGTATTGCTAAGTTGCCCAGACTGGGCTTGAACTTGCAATCCTCCTGCCTCATCTTCCCAGAGTGCTGGGATTACATGTATGCACCATTAAGGTGAGTATTTCCATGTGCTTTCCTGTGATAGGCCCCAGAGTTATTTGAACATAATGACCTGTGAGGTATTTTCAAATTTATTTTTTAATGAGCACATAGCATAAAAATCATATATGAATGTAGTGTTTGATACAGGTGTAATTTCTTAATATTTAAATCAGTATAAACATATTTATCTCTTCAAACTTTTATGAGTTGTGTGTGGTGAAAATATTTGAGGTTTGTTTTCCCTTAATTCAAATATTTAGACCTTTGAAGGGCTTAAGGCCGTTCCAAGAATTCCTCTTCTTGATCAATTTTCCATTGGAGAGAAGCCTCACACAGGTCCCCAGGTCCCTCACCAGGCTTCTTTAACAGGTGGCTGAGTTATCTGTTCATGTCTGGCAGTAGCTACTGTGAAACCGAGGGCCTCGGAGGAATGTAATTCAACCAATGCCAGGAAGTTGGGGGCCTGAAGTGGGGACTCTGAATGTCAGGAGAAGTTAACTAAGAAGCTGGTCAGTAAAAGTCATTCACTTATTTAACATTTATTTTTACTTTTTGAATTTTTTTTCTCCTTATACCAAATGTTTCTGGAATAAGAAAAAAAAAAAAAAAAAGTAACTTTCAGTATGATACTAACCATCCCTGTTTTGAAACAAAAAAAAAGAGTTCTTTGTTGTCATATTGAAAACCCAGAACCTAATCTGTGTGACCCTGATCTTTGAGAACCGTGAACCTGCATCTGCGGCTTGTCGTTGTTTGTACTGCCACAGCAATGCCAGCACGTCACTATGGAGAACATTTTTGCCTTAACCACATCCAGTTACTTTTAGACACTAGAGATTAAGACAAAGTGACCAGAGTCATGTTTCTTTTGTCAAATAATCAAAACATTTCAACACTATGAAAAAAATAAAAACATGCTTTCAGAGCTATTGTGATATTTTGGAACCAGATAGAAGTGGTGCTTGTACACCTCTGTGAAATGTCCTAGAAGTCATGAATTCTTCATGTTAAAATGGCTGACTTAGGGCCAGAGGTGTAGCTTAGTGCTAGAACCCTTTCGCTTGTCCCTGGAGACCCGAAGTTTAATATCTAGCACCACACACAATAATAGTTTAATTTTATAGTATGTGATGTCACTTTAATAAGTTATTTTAAGGAGAACACAGATCAAAAATGAGGCATTGATTCATAGCTTAAAAGTATTCTCTTACTAGGAGAGCCAAGTCATTAAAATGCCAAGTCATTCTAAACAGGCACTTTTCAAAACCTGTAACCGAGGTCACTGGGTGTAATAACTTTAATGTTTGACTTTTGTTTCACAATTTCTTTTTATGATTGGTTTATCTGAAGATTACTAGACAAGTGAAATATTGGCAGCAGTGTTTCTGTTAATAAGTTATTATCTAAAGAGTGCTGACTGATGAATGACTCAGGGTTTTTAAGAAATACTGGATATGAGCATCTAAAACACCAGAAACTTGGCTGAGTAATAATTAAGATAATGTCAGAGTAAGATTTAGGGATTTTTGAAAAAGAATGTATTTTTGGACTTTCCAAGTCCATTTTAAAAAACCAACTTTATTGAGATATAATTCACATGCAGAGAATTCATTCACTTAACGTTTACAATTGGATGGTTCCATATTCACAGATTTGTGCTGTGATTTTAAAACATTTTAAAACATTTTTTAAATGCCAATTTTAAAACATTTTCAATCACTTGCAAAATATTATGTCATTCCTCCTCATACTGGCCATGGTAACCACTACTTTACTTCCTATGTCTTTGGATTTGCTTGTTCTGGCTATTTCTTTCCCCTTAGCATAAGGTTTTCAAGGTTCCACTGTCTTGCTGCATGACTTGTTATTACCAAATAATATTCTAGTCCAAGGACATACTGTACTTTATGTATCTACTCATTAGTTGATGAGTATTGGAGTTTTTTTCTTTCGTTCTTTCTTTCTTTCTTTCTTTCTTTCTTTCTTTCTTTCTTTCTTTCTTTCTTTTTTTTGCTATTGTGAGTAGTGTTTCTTGGAGCATTTTTGTGCAAGTTTTTGCTTGAATGTATTCTGAATTGTTGGACTGGATGTTCAGGAAGGGAACTATTAGCTCGTGTGGTAGTTCTATGTTCAAATTATTGAGGAAGCAACAAACTTTCTTTACAGAGGTTATGCCATTTTATTATTCTTCTGGCAATTCAGAAGCCTTCCCAGTTCTTCACATCTTTGCCAATACTCATTGTTTTTCACTTTTTATTATAAATATTAACACACTAAACTGGGTTTAGTAAAAATGGGTTTCAATGTGACATTTCTATATATGCGTATAACATGATGATGTCCACCCTCCTTTCTGTCTCACACTAGTAGGTTTGAAGGGCTATCTCATGGTTTTTGTGTTTATTCTCTTGAAGATTATCAGTGTTCAGCACCTTTTCATATACTTGTTGGGCACTTGTATATCTGATTCTTTGAAGAAAGATCTACTCTAGTCCTTTGTACATTTTAGTTCTTTTTTATGTTGCCAGTGTACTTTATATAATTTAAATACAATTTCCTTATCAGATAGGTAGGTAGATAGATTTAATAGATATGATATAATGTTGTTTTCTACTATTTGGTGGGTTTTCTTTTCACTTTTTTGATGGTATTTTTAAGCACCATAGTTTAAAATTTTAATCAAGAATAATTGACCTTTTGCTTTTACTGCCTATGCTTTTGGTGTCATATTTTAAAAAAATCATTGCCAACTACAAGATCAAGAAGATTTTCACCTATGTTTTCTTCTTAGAATTGTAGTTTTGGCCCCTTGTACTTAGATCTATGAGCCATTTTGAGTAAATTTTGTGTAGATTATAAGTTAAGGGTCCAACTTTTCCCTCAATCCTGTTTTTTTTTCCTTCTCATGTTGATATTCAGTTGTCCCAACACCATTTATTGAAAAGATGATTCTTTCCCCTTTGAATACTCTTGAAGCTTATACAGAAAATCACTGGACTATAAATGTGAGGGTTTGATTTTAGACTCAGTTCTGTTCTTGGTCAGTATGCCCATCTTTATGTTAGTGCCCTTTGGTCTTGATTAGCGTAGGTTTTTCGTAAGCCAAAATGAGGAGGCGTGAATCTTCCAAATTTGCTATTCAGTTTTGAGACTGTTTTACCTATACTTGGTGGTTTGAGTTTCCATGTGAATCTTAGAATCATGTTGTCAATTTCTGCAAAGAAATTGGAATTTTGGCAAAAATTGTGTTAAATTTATAGATGTAGTGAGGAATATTCCATTTTAACAGTATTAAATCCGTATTCATGAAAGTGGCATGCTTTTTTTATTATATCTTTAATATCTCTGTACACAGTTTTATACTTTTTTGTATAGTATCTCATACTTAAAAAGATTTACTCTTAAGTAGTTTATTCTTTTTGATACTATTTTAAATGGGGGCATTTTCTTAATTTTAACTTTGGATTTTTTCATTGTTAGTGTATGGAAATACAAGTTTTGTATATTGATGTTGTTTCCTTTAACCTTGATGAACTTGTTCATTTGTTCTGATAGTTTTAAAATCAGATTTCTTAGGATTTTCTAAATAGAAAATTATTTTATCTAAAGGTAGAGATAGCTTTATTTTTGTTTTCAAGACAGAGTCTTGCTGTGTAGTTCAGGCTGGTCTTGAACTCACAGCAAACGTCCTGCTTCAGCCTCTGGGGTGCTGGGATTACAGGTGTGTGTCACCACACTGGGCAGAGATAGCTTTACTTGTTCCTTTCCAATTTGGGAACTTCTAGAACCATACTATATAGAAATGGGAGGGAAGACATTTTTTCCTTGGGTTAACGACAGACTTTTTGGAAGAAGCTCAAATGATCAGATTGAAGAAATAATCATCTGTTCTTAATTTGTTGATTAATCTCCTTAGACATGGACTGTTAGATTTTGTCAAATGCATTTTCTGTCTATTAAAATGAATATGTAGGGTTTCCCTTTTCAATGTACAGTATATATATTATAGTA